ATTCAAACACCTTTTTTCGTATTGTTAAATAGCGTAAGACCTTTTTAGGAATATTTATCAAACAAAAATGAGATGTGCTACATACGATTCCATGTAGATTATATAAAACTACGTGATAAGTTACTTAATTACTCAGCTAAAACTACACACATTATGAGCGTCACTGAAGAGTTTACGAAGGTACTTGAATCTGTTTTTAATTAGATTAAATCATGGTAAAAATTCATAGTATACGTGAATATTTTTTTTTGTGTATAGGATTTGGAGACGCTTAAAAATTTTGATCATAATTTAAGTGGAAATTGTCCAAGACTTGACGAAATAGATGTTATGAGCAAAAAACTAAAAGAAATTCAGGGAAAAGTAAAGGAATTTCAAGAGCATAAAACTCAAATAATTCGTAGCATAAAATACTCCAAATATTTAGATGAAAATGACAAAATATTAGAAGTATTTGATAGATTGTTAGAATGTGTTACAAAACGATGACTTTTAAGACAATTTATGCCTTATATTGCTGTAGAAGAAAAATATGCGGTTTTACTTGGATAAAATTATTACAACTATTAAAGACTAAAAAATCTATTTTATATTAAATTAGCATACTTACCAAGAGTGCTTTTGCTAGTGTACTAGTGTCTCTACAAAAAAATGTATTCCAACACAAAATGCTTTGTTCTAACAAATCTAGGATTTAAAAAATACTTTTGAATTTCCATTTATAGATCGATTATAATTGCGTTAAAAAATAATTTTGTTTACATCGATATGTTCTCCTCGACATTCATATGGTTCTGCTTATTTTTCAAATTATTTACAAAAAAAAATATTTTACATACTGTTGTAACATCGAGAAAGTTACTGCATATCGTACGTAACATTGTAATAAATATAATCTGTAATAAATATCACTTTTTAATAAAGTCATAAGAATTTCAAATTTTTAACAATTGGTACATAATATAGAGTTTTTTGTATGATTATGCAATAAATAGTGTGAAAGTTTATTGAAGCCATGTCATTCGAACTACTTATGTAGTCCTCAAGTACTGTTTTTTTTCTTAGCTTCCAGTCCATAAACTAAGTTCATAAGCTTTCTATTATTTTTGTAAAATATCAAAGTAAATTTATTTCAAAAATCTGGAAAGAATGTGTTTCTATACACCTCTTGACAAAATTTGTCCATGTGAATTAAAAAATATAAAAATTGATGTAATAATTTAGGTAAAACAAAAAATTTTAATCTAGCTTTTGTCCCAGGTTGAAAACACGCATCAATGTATATATTCAGTTTCAATTAGAGAACCAGCATAGCTGTCGTTTGTACTAATGGAATCGTTAATGTTCTTTCGGCTCTAAACCTCTCGCCCGACAGAAACAACATAGTAGTTCGCGCACCAATAAAAGTCCCCGTAAATTTTTTTCACACCCGAGCCAGACCATTTTGAACTTTAGTGTTTCGCATTCAGCGAGTGATTCATACTCTCGTGATCGCGTGTTCGTCCACTAACGCTATTCGATCCCTTTTTTTTCGACCCAAAAAAAGCCCCTAATCGAAGGTACGTGCATCAGCTGACGCATTGTTTTTCATCCGCCTACAGCCAAAATATACGTAATAAATGGCCTCACCTATCAACTACGTCAATGTGCACGTATACGGGAGCTACACATGATGACTCGACGATTTTGGATCGCACGAGCTGATCGTATGACACATCCGTTATTTACGTTATCTCCCGCGCGAACCCATGGGCGTGACGTTAAATTTACGATCCTCATCGTCGCCTATTCGTAATATCGATTTTTCTCCTTTTTTTTACCGTTACCTGCCACTGCACACACACGCTCAAGGACATTGCATTTATGGACACGTATTTTGTCGTTTAACCAGTTATTTTTTGATGGTACCAAAATTGGGGTATTTGATACAAAAAAATGCCAATCACAAAATATGCTCACGGCATATAAAATGATATGATTAGAATACAATCATTGTGCCGCAGTGTTAAAAAGACTTTGTAAATTAGACGATAAAATTTGTCACTGTATCGGAAAGAATTTTTACTCTATCGTTAGAAAAAAATATTTGGAGTCGAAAACGTTCAAATCAAAAAAAATATATATATCGTCTTACCGACAACGCTATCCAAAAATTAGCCGTAGAAAGTAAGCCACGTCAGAACGAAAATATGTTTCATCTACACAGTTATTCTTCTTCGCTTGTTCTTTGTTGCTTATTTTTTCTGAAAAGCAAATAAAAAATCCTTTGGGGGACTGTTTATTACCTGGATGGACGCAAAATGTACAAACTCGCGCAGGACCATTCTATTAAATCATAGAAAAAACAGCTCGAAACAATTTCACCGCCTCAGCTAACTCCTATATTTCTCAGGCCAGGCTATCGACACTTTTCCGGGCTCAATTAAACCCCCTCCCCTTCCTCCGTGCAGCTACAAGGGGCATTTCGTTTGAAAGAACCGTAAAATTTATTTTCCCGAACCAGCCACTGGCACAAGGTAGGTACCCTTGCAACACTCCATAACACACCCTTTGAAGCCGAAGTAGGGCGAAATGGAAAAATAAAATGGCCCGGAGAGCTTTAAGCTGTTCCGCAGCCGGGAAGAAAGAGCTGTCGTGAAAAGTGTAGCGTGAAAGTCCACTGCATTTCGTACGGCTGCTCGATGAAAAACCAAGCGAGCGAAAACAAAACGCTGCTGCGCTCGGTGTACGGGTGCACCGTATCAGTGCGCCGCACGCGTTGCTAATCCACGTATACATAGCAGACCAGTTATTTCTTGGTACTTTTATAGAGTATACTCGTAAAATGAAAAAAGCAAGCCATTTTTTTTCATGCAATTATGATTCAAACACGCTATCGTGGAATTGTCGCGTTAATTACTATTTCCTTTTTTTTTTTTTTTTTTTTTTTTTCTAACACGAGAGGGTGACGTTTTTCAAATAAAAAGTCATACAAAGGCACGCTGACTCCAACTAAGTATACACCATCGATTAGATATTAGGTGTTAAGTCCATTTAACTCCAAAAAACTTGAAACAGCGAATAAAACATCGAGTCACACACAACGAATCATTTTGTTTGAGTATCCCCGATTAAGCGGCGTTCAACAAAAGCTTCTCGGAACAACGACAACAACGGAGGCATCATCGGACGAGACGCGTAGTAGCATCGAGGCAGGGGGTGATATCCTTGTCCGGCTATCCTATTATTGCATAATCCGGTTAGAGGCACCAAGGTGCAAGTGAGGCGAACGTTGGCTATATATGTATACCCCCGTTCTTAGCCGAGAGCTTAGCGGCCCCCGATCATGCAACGGAGGCGAGCTTTATGGCTTCGTTTGTGGCCACCTTATAGTGTACTTATTGCGGTGTCGAGACGATTTTCATGCTATTGTCAGTCGTTGTAGACCCCGTGCAAATCGGTTTTAAAAAAGTCTTTGCTGTATTTTTCTGTTTTTCATGAATAAATAATATTATATAATAACTTTATAGTGACTGGGGATCCTAATCAAACAGCCACCTTGCGAACTTTTTCGTCTATTTTGTTCGTAGTACTGTACAGAAAAAAAAGAATATATACGAAATGGTAAAGGGTGAAGTTAAATAGTTTGTTTTAATTATTTTAATGGAAAATATTAAACAGCCAATTAGCTGCATTGGCCATTTTTCAAGTTGTAATGACCAAAACTGTTTATAACTTTTATCTTGTTCTCCTGTCGATTTTATTTAAAATTTCAAAACCATTCATTATTTAATGGCAACAGACAAATTTCTTCCGTTTTTAAAACAGTCCAGCATATATAATTGCTACATAACGAACAATTGTCAGCAAATACAAGAGTATTTGAGGCGGAAGATTATTATAAATCAAACCCATATGCTCACGTAGCCGAAATTTTGAATGACCCAATAAATTATTCTGGCTCATCGTTATTCAAATACGGCACGGACAAGCTACAATAAATAAGTTTGACCGAGTGAGATACGGGCATTTTAAAGTAAGCCAGTTAATTCGTGTCGTTGATATGTCGAGCGTAAATCACGTGCTGCTATACCGACACTGTTGTTCTATCTTTATGATAAACACGAGCGGCCACTCCACATCCGTCCCTATATCCTTTAAACCTTCACGAGTTCAGATATAACTACTGTGTACGATTCGTGTGTATGCACGACCCTATATACGTTGAGCTTTGTCCGATTCAAACGAATCCATAATGGTATTACCTCTCTGATAAATGGCCCGCTGATATGCAAACTATATTTTAATGTTATTTGGAAGATGTAAATCAGGTGCAAATGTGAGATATCAATGAATCGTTTATAAACAGTTGTGTTTGTCATTGCCTTTTTTTAAAACATTTTTATTATGACGTTTGAGTGAAATTTGTTTCCGTAAATTTTATTTCACCATAACATGATTTCTTAGTTTTTTTTTTTTTTTTTTTTTTTTAATTCATGACAAAATTCTCGTGTTTCCCAATAATTTGTGAAGACTTTAAAAAGATATTAGTTCAATGTCATATTTTTTTTTTTTTTTTACTCAATTATCAAAAGTTAACGAGGTTTCCACACATTTATGCTGTTTTGAATATACGTAGGTTAAAAGAAATAGCTCCTTTATAAGTGTAACGACTTCATAAAAACCCAACAGGTCAAAATTCTTATAGCTGACTTATTGGTTATAATAATAGGTTTAGTAGATCTATCAATTTTTTTAATTATGATATGTATTCGGAATAAAATGTCTTTGTTGTTGTCAAATCGTTTTAAATCACCTAAAAAACAATTTCACTTACTAAATGTTTGTTTCCTTTTTTCATACATAGAGTTTTAGACCTCTTGAGTACTGTTATTTTTTACGTCAACGCAACTATAATCTAAGACTGGCTTATGCGTGAGTAGGATTTATTTTAATAATATGCAAGTGTTTATGAATAAATGTATATTTATAAATTTTTTCAAAGTTTATAAACACGGCAAGTAAAAGATTTCTGTACAATTTATCGACCAAGTTTTTCGTACACACGTCCTGCATCTAACTTGCACCCAACAACTAACGTAAAAATGTTAATATAACAGTAAATTATTTCTTCAAATTTACAATAAATGCGGAAACATGATTTGCAAAAAAAAACATTATATAGATTCAAGTAACGGTTTCCATAACTTCCACATTTTATCATCAGGATTTTCTAAAGATGTAAGATCATCATTGATTTCCAAATAGTTTTTTTTATTTTTCTCTAATGGACTCCACTTTGTTGGTATTAGTTCATTTATTTCTGGCGTTGGATCACTATATTACATAATAAAGATAACATTAATAAAATATCAATTGTAAATTATCTTATAAGTAATAAAATAATTCCAAGGTGTACCTAGTTTTTGCAAAATTAGTCCACATAGTTGTTAAACGTTCCATGGCTTTACGATCCCTAGTTCCCTGATCAAACTTTTTCCTTCGTAATTCAGAAAAGAATAAACATCCCAACTCGTCAGCATGACAAGTTCCTATTTTATAGAGTAACAAGTAATTACAAATTAAAAAACTTTATTAGTTTTTAGTGTATCATAAATATATTTCAAAAGTACCTTCAATTTTTATACCCATTCTTTCCTTTATTCCAGGAAAGTTGGGTCGATAAGAAAACTTGTAAAAATAAGTCGGAACCGCTTTTTGCATTTGAATATGTACAACAGCATGAATGTTTGCAACAAACGATAAATCTCCAAAAAATTGTACTGCTTCATTGATTTTCGATTCATTTATCTCACTTTTACCAAAATAAAATTCTCGAATGGACTGGGCGTGACTAAGTACTACTTTAGAGTCACTCAATCTTAGATTATCCACAAGAAATTTTCCAAAATCTTGGTTTAAATCCTCGAAAAAACTCGAAGTATCACCAAAAAATCTAATAATACCCTCGTGACTGTTATAACCAATTATCAATGGTACATTGATACCAGTTTTTTCCATTTCCCCAATTGGATACGGCAAACATGGATTTTTGCTTTTAGTATCCAAAGTTGGCACCAAATGCATTATCAGATTTTGCAATTCCTACAAATAGTTGTATAAATACTATTTAGCATATCTTTCTGGTTCAGAAAATTTTATACTTGAAAAAATTTTTTATTTACTCCTTTGTGTATAGTTTCATATGTTTCTACTAACTTGACTACCGGAACAGTTCTTAAAAACAATATTGTTTCCAGGGTACTTGTACAATTTTTCCCCAAAGCTTTTGCCACAGAAAATCCTACATCTTTATTTGAAGAAATGTGCGCCCACGGATTAGATACAGCACCACTTTGTATAATAGCTTTTTGAAACAGTCCTTCAACATAAAAAAGTATTTTAATTTAATGTAGAGTAAGAATAATATCTCTTCATTTTTATACTTTTCTTACCTCTTGCTAAAGGTGACAAACAAAGTGCGTGAACAGAAGCTCCACCGGCGCTTTCACCAAATACCGTGATATTGTCGGAATCACCACCAAAAGCCTCAATGTTCTCTTTGACCCACGCCAAACCGGCAATTTGATCTTTCAAGCCTTGATTTCCAGAGCACTCCTCGTGATCCATATTCAAAAATCCTAATTAAGCAGTAAAAATTTGAACTCTACTCAGTTTTGACCTACGAAGATTTAAATAATCCAAACTATAAGAAATACCTAAAATTCCGAGCCTATAATTCAAAGCAACGAAAACAATATTTTTTTTCAAAAGGTAATCTGGGCTGTACTTTTTATAAGTATTTGAGCTTGACTTGAAACCCCCACCATGTATCCAAACCATGACCGGTCGTTTTTCCGTCAACGAATTTGTTGCCACGTCCAAATAAAGACAGTCGTCACCGCCTTCTGTTAAATCTGCAATCGCATCATATTGGGCTGACTTTTTGCTTTCTTCCAGTGCATCTAGGATACCATTCCAAGGTTGCAGAGGTTGAGGCTCCTAAAAGTTTTTTGGTGTTTATTTTCAATATTTTTAAAACGTACATTGCTCTCTAGTAATCGTTTACCTTGAATCTTAGTTCACCAACTGGTGGCTCAGCAAACGGAATACCTCTAAATGAGTAATAAGTGCCGCCATCGATATTTTCTCTAACAGTTCCCCTGAGCTTTCCTTTCTTGACATCTACCAATACTTCGGACATGGCGAAACGCTTCGGTTGCTTAGAGTGGAAATATCTAACGTGCCAGTATTTCGCCGATGAAACAACTCTGCCAACGCGATTGCAAAATTTTATCTGGCGTCCCATCAGATAAGCGGACGTGCAACCGTTTCATTGGTTAATATCAATAAAAATACGTTCGAGTAGTCTCATGATTTAAATAACAAACTACAGTACTGTAATATTGTAAATATTGCTTGAGTTTATACACGAGCTGATCCACGGACAGTATCTTCATGAAAAAATAAGATAAATACCTCATAAACTATAAATAATTTTCCAGGAACACGTGTAGAAACTTTCACTTAAAAATAAATTCTTGTATCAGTTGAAAAAATAAATAAATAAATATAAAAAATTAAGAGTTCAAGCCGTTGCCAACCATTAAATTTCACGACTGTGCATCTTTTACAGTCTGTTTACATATTGTAGCTCCAACTGCAGGGAAAAATTTTTATTTGTATATTTGAATGCATGGGTAATATGGTAACTTTTGCAATAGGTAAGGCAAGATTAGATAAGAGCGATACCTTCACATCTCGGTGGGTAGAAATATTGAAGTTGTTGGTTATTCCAGCAGATGGCGCCGCAAGTAACTTTATGTAGGGTTTTAGTCCCTGTATATATTATATGTCGTCGTGGGAGAAGGTGCTGGAATGAGCAGAGAGACTTTGTATATGAGTGTGTGCTTTATTTACAGGATGTGCGGCTCGGACTCGAGCTCGGCAAGGACTAAAGTCGTCAGTAAGCGGTTACACCGCACGACTAGTATAGAGTGGGGGTAAGCCCCTACATTTAGTCCACGAGCCACGTGTATTATTTATACTATATATTATTATTATTGTTACCAATAAACTAAAGGTAAAAGCAAAGTTCGATAATTGACAAATTCTACGGTAATGTGTGTACTTTATCAATCCAATAATTTCGAATTATGACCAACTGATAGATGTTTTTATTTTTAAAACAAAGTATTTTGAAACTATAAATACTTTCAAGTTGTTATTTATTACTTTTCATCACTTAGCCAAATATTTTAAGCTATAAAAATACATAATATTAGTTCTTATCTGCTGTTTTATGAAATAGCTATAAAAAAAAGTGTGAATTACAGCTATAAATTACAGGTATTTTTCGAAAGAAAAATTTTCAAGAAAAAAAATGGTTTTCAGATGTGTTGGCAGTAATTTAAACAAACTTGGGCTGACAGAGTATTGCTTGTAGTAGAAAAAAAAGTTTGTTTTGTCTTCAAAATATATACTAACTTTAAACTAAAAAAAATATGTGATTTACATCGATTTCTTACACATTTTTATAGTTAGGTACATCATATGCAATAATAACCATTATTGTAAATTAACGTAACTAATATTACAGCTTACCGTATAATAGCTAAGAAGTTTGACTGAGCATCGTACTTTCCAAAATCAAAGTCTGGTTATATTTAGTCTTGAAAACTTTGACAAAGCGCTCAAAATGTTACTGTATACTGCAAAAATTAAAACTAAGAAACGCAAGAGATGAAATAACAGTTATGAATCAATCATGCGTAAGCATGTCATTTTCAACGATTTTTCGGTAAGTACCCAGTCGACGACGAAGCGCCTGCACAACGTCTGCCTCCCGTCGACTTTCATGGTTTTTTAAAATTACCCCTCTGATTATAAACGTCAACTTTGCTCGAGTCGAAGGAGTTGTGGTTGTATCGACGAAATAACTTTATCCTTTTACCGACGCGCATCACTTTATTAAATTATTTAAATTACGAAAATACTTAATTTTACACTCGCATTATTCATCCACTTTACGATAAAAGCGGTACCCCAAAACTGCTCGAGCAATGGCATCGATAAATTTTCGGGGACGAAAAGATCGGTAAATTTCCTTACAATTTAAAGAGAAAGTACGCGCGAGGATGCTGAAAATTATTTTATTTTTAGCCACCGATAAATAAACAACGCCCGCCCGGAGAGCATAAATTTAAGCTTTGAGTCACCCTTTGGAAAATCGTACACGAATCTCGATTTGTAAAAATTCTCCGATCCGTAACATATTCCCACACACAAAACGCGGATTTCTCACATCAAGCGCACGTGATAATTTTTCCCCCGAGCACACCTCCACACGCTTCATTTCCTTATCACACCCGCGGTACGTAATCCGCGAGCACGTGTCGCTCGAACAAAAGGATCTCGCGTCAATGCACTTTTTGTTCGCAACGAAATTCACGCGCTTATCCGAATAACAGCGCCCCTGCGTGCCACACCTGCAGTTTTTTGAACCTCATGGGTATTGGTGTCTATCGCAAACGTCCATTGAAGCCCGCCACTGGAGTGCGGCTTGGCAAACCGAAAAAACGTCTTTATCGCTGGTTACTCGATTATTATACCGATTAGCTCGTAAAAATCCTCGACTGCACTTTTGCCACGGTAATTTATCGCTCAACTGGAGAACAACACCGATCGTTACAAGCAACGCGACCCCGCGAGTACAACAATTCGAGTAATCGTTTCTGGCTCTCCGGTTCGTTAGCAGAAAAAAAGGGAGCCACCTCTCAAAGGGACAAAATTCCCCGTAATTGGCCCACTCGCTGAAATCACCGATCTCGCGTCTACGACGATAAAGTAAAACTTGGCTCCGAATCCTCCGTGTTGCTGTGGTATGCAAGGGAGCCTCGGGCGTTGGCCCGTTTCGTTCGAAAAGATTTAAGTGCAATTGTAAAAAGCTACTTCTCGAAAAACCTCCATACCCCCCCACGGAGCAACGGTACACGTATATTTTTGTTTGCCGTTCATCGAAGCAAATCAATGCCATATTAATGTATACACGCGATTCCCCATATCGAAACGGTATTAAAAAATAACCACGCGCCGACGCTTTGATTGAAAAAGCCTCGGTCGCCCATTAACCGGACACCCAAGGGAGTCTCCGGTGTATACGAGGGTACATCCCGCGAAATGTCAACGACTTCGAGGAAGCACGTGGCGAGACAAAAGCGTCGCCCGGAGGACACACGTCCCCCGAAACATAATCGCTTCGCGAAATCGTGGCGTCACCGAAGGTACATTACCGCAGCTACCCTCCCTGGGGCTGACGAGAGACGGATTCTCGGTCATTAACGGGCCGCCTTTGCAGTCTCGTCTATTGGAATTACAAATATATACACGTACGTCCATACACCCGGCCACGCGCCCACGGCGCTGAACCCGCTGCTGTACGCGGCACGCAACACGCCCGGACGTTTAGCCCCCGGGGCTCCTGAAAGCTCTGAGTGCTCGTTTTAGTGTTGTTTTTTTTTTTTTTTTTTTCTTCCACGTCGCTCCTCCTCTCGCTTCCTCCGGTTGATAACGAGAGCCAAACGCTTTTCGAGACAGCTGCTCGTTCCTATCGTTTCTGGCTCCGCTTCCAACTTTTCGAGGTCCCCTCCTCCTCCACCCCCTTCGAAAGGGTAATAACTGGGCTCGGAAAAAATCGGCTACGGGGGCTTTGCGACGACGAGGTCGTTCAGCCGTTCACATCCCGATAAAGTGTCACGGCTCTCGTACACAATATATGATACGGAGGGGCCCCTCTCGAGAGTCGACCTTTGAGGGCTAATTAATTAAGCGCTCAATTAATTACGCCGAGGCTTCCCCCGGGGGCCCTGGCTTTTGTCCCAACTGGCGTGTAATTAAATCGTCGTGCCGGTATAATACGAAGGTATGGACGAGCTACCCTGCGTCTCGACGACCGCGGGGTGGTCGAAGGGAGAGGGCCCTCTTCTTTTTTCCCTTACCTCGGTGGCTAATTAAGTGCAAGATGTCCCGGACTACGCGTATATATACGCCTGTAATTGCCCTTTTTCCACGTTTTTTTTTTTTTTTTTTTTTTTTTCTTTTCTTTCTTTTTGCTTTGCACGACTTTGACCGTGTAACGACGGCGATAACGAGCTGAGTTGGACCCACCAACTCTATTTTTTTTACTCACCACGTGTACTCTTTGGATGTCGAGTCTAATCGGATGCGCTGTTTTACAACGTTTGTCGCACTTTATTCGTTTGGCCGGTGTCTTCATCAGGGACTGATTGAGTTTGCATGGGATGAGCTTGAAGGAGCTACCTGAGATTATCGATAATTTCAATACTATACTTTTTACCAAAGCGTTTTCTCTCAGGTAAATTAAAAAAAACACCGATTGATTCGCTGCGGCAAGAGAATAACATCACTCGGGATGAGTCTGTCGTGCGCACACTACCCGTTGAAATTACATTACTTGCCATGCGTGTACATATACATATATTGTATATACAGGTGTAACAACGTGTAACTTGCCGGATACGCGAATTCTGGTTGGACCGGGATCTGATGCGTGTGGTCGGCAACCGGGAGTGGGTCGGACGGGGACTGATTGGAATTCGAGAGGTGCGTTGTTTTGCGTTGATGGAAAATCCGGTGATTAAAATGTAATTCCGACCACCAAACAATCGCATTGCAACAGCATCGGATGATGTAATCCAAAGTGGAAAGCACACGTATACGCGTAAAGGAAAAAAAAAAAAAAGGTGCCGATTCCAGCGTAATGGTAAAACACGCGATTCCCATCGCAGGGCCAAAGGGACGTGTAAAGTGTAACCACAGCCGTGTCTAGTTGGGATTGCTCCGCGTCTGAATTCTCTCTAGTTCGTCCACCTCCGACGACTGGCTGTCCCGCGCGGGGTACACTTTCGGGATTGTTTCTCCCTCGCTGTCCTCCTCGACTAATTCGCCACGGGACGAACGGACACACGTCCGCGCCACGGGAGGGGACGTCCCGGAATGAGATTAGTTCGCCACCGTTACATCAGTTAGTTTCTCGTTACTCGCTTCGTCTCACCCCCGAACTGAATTCCCCGTCTGGCTTCCCTGGTGTCTATCCTTGGTTTTTGTTTTTTTTTTTTTCCCCAAGGATACGCCTGATGTAAATGTAAATCGAGGCCGGGGTGTTTTTTGACAAGAGGAGGGCGCGGGTGCTGGAGACGCGATTGGAAAGGGGGACCGTGGAGAGAGAGATGGGTTTATTTTCGCGTGGCCGAGCGCTAATTTCTCCTGCGCGGCCCAAAGCTCCTGCCCAATCTAAAGTTCGTGACGATGTAATCTCGAGCTGCTTTCCTGGTGTGACATAATCATATAATACGTTTGAGAAATGAAATTAACAAGTGTTGCGATGCTCGAGTGATTTATTTGTATCTAAATTGTGCCATCTTTCATAATATTACATGGGTGCTTCGTAGATATACGTGTGCCGATGACTTAGCCGACTGGAG